CCGTTAGCTTAGCTCCCACCTCCGCATTAGCTCCAGGTTAGCTTGTAGCTAGCTTGACCGGGTGTCGTCATTTGATCCCAGCCTTACAGCCCCACCCTCACTTCCACCTCTCTTCCCTTTTGTGGAATTGTCTGGGCTTGACGGAACCTGTGACACTGTCAAAATGGCGGTGGTGGCCACCTCCCATTTTTCTTCAAAAACGTGTTATTGGAGTCTATGGAAACTCATTGTCCAATATTAATACGTCGATGGTGTCGGTACAGGATCGGCTCGGGGTCCTTCGACCGCCGATGACGTCACATTACTGCAAATCTACTCGGCTTTCACACACGTTTTGGAAAGACATCAGCAGTTTTGTTAATAAATTCTTGTTTGTTAACACCTAAATGTTTTCTTTATAATTGTAATTTGTTAATAAAACACCATATTATCTTTGTTTTGTAAAGAATGTGAAACTGCATAAAGCCAACATCGGACTGACAAAAAATAGAACAGTTCTTATATGTGAAGCCATGTCTGTTTGTATTAATGTGGAGTTCGTCTGTTTATTTCCTTAGTTGTTATCTAAATACATTCTTTGACTCAAAATGTTGCTTGGTGTCTTTCAATTAAGTTATTATATTTTATTTTGCCCCATTTCATCAACATCAAGAGCTTTTGAGGGTCACCGTTTATCATTTGCTTATATTTTACATTTCCTTAAGAAATTCAAACATATTTTCTCCAAAAAGTGTTGATTTTTGGACTACAGGACTACAACCGCTAAGACTACAACCACAAATTTGTTCTGACCAATCAAAATCATAACGTGATTACGTAACTTCCGGAAGCTTCATGTTCAGCCAATCAACTACTTTGATGTCATCGGCAGTCGAAGGACCCCGAGCCGATCCTGCACCGACACCGGCCGCCATTTGTGATGGGTCTTTTTAAAATTTTATTTAATTTCTGCTTTGAAGATCTTACAAAAATATTCCTAAATATTTTGGATTAGTTTTCAATGTTATTGACTAACAAAACATATTCATCTAACAACATAGCAAAAATAAACAAATAAATAAATAAAGGGAAAGAAACGCGACGTTATATATTATTCAAGCACATGTAATGCTACAGATACACTGTCTATAAATCTACAACAAATTGATCATACAAAGGATTCTTATGCATTACTTTACATTTGTGTATAAAAATTTTCGAGAGAAACAGAATCAGATGAATAAAATAGAAAGTGGAGGAATGTTGTGCATCATAGAGTGTTGTCCCAAATAAAACATTTTTAAGATTCAACAGAAAGTCCAACTTAATAGTTCTTGAAATTAAAGTAGTAATATCTTTCCAAAAGTTCTTTGTGACAGAACATTCCCAAAACAAGTCTGCTGTAGTCCCCGTGTAAAGGGTACAGAAGGAGCAATGTTATGATTAAATCTTTTTAGAATAAAATGCTTAGTTTGGTAGAATCTATGTATTATTTTAAAAGAAACTCCCTTCATTTTCTTGGTAATACAGAATTTTCTCAGTAAAGTCCATATTCTTGTCTAGTTAAGATCGTGCCAGGAAGTGTTCCAGTGGCTAACACGGGATGGAACTGAAACGAGAGATTTTTGTTGTAAGGAATGCATTTCAGAGTAAACTGATTTTCTCTGCACGATGAAGCAGAGTTTGACTACGAGTGTTTGCTTAGGGTCTGTAGGGTTGTCTGATCCAACTAGAGAAAAGTCAACTCCTTTTAACAGCTTAAAGGCACGGTCCGCAAGATTTAAATGTAGAATAACTTTAAAAATGTTTGATTTTGACCATATGACCCAATTTTATTAAAAAAAAGTAAATAATCTTCAATATTTCAATTTTCTCCTAAGTCCCTCCCCTGCCCTGTAGAGCTCAGCCAATATTTCTGCAAGCCTAAGTCCTTTTCAAAAATTTGCTTACTGTGATAAAGTTCATTATTGTCTGTAATGAACTGATAAACATCAGACTTTCATATATATTAGATTAATTACACACAACTGATGTAGTTCAAGCCTTTTATTGTTTCTAATATTGATGATTTTGGCATACAGCTCATGAAAACCCAAAATTCCTATCTAAAAAAATTAGCATATTTCATCCGACCAATAAAAGAAAAGTTTGTTTTTTGTTTATCAAGTCTCACTGCTGATGGGATGAAGGACCTGTGGTGCCCCAACAGACCACATGTTACGGAAATTTTATGTTCCATTATTTCTTGATCATTAATCCTGAAAGCATTCTCACACTCAGACACACCCACACATTCTTGTTCTTCCCATACACACACACTGTCTCATTCATGCAGGCACTGTGACCTCACTCCCATTCACACAAACACACCTCTGCTCTTTTTTTTTAATCTCATGTTATAAAATATACTCTCAGGGCGGAATCTCGGGGCAGTTGCCTCGTGCTCTGCCCCTGATTGCAATCTGGTGGCTTGTCTGCTTATTGTCTCCTATTTTTATTCGACGGCAGGCATCGGGTAAGTGATAAATTCCCAAACATCACAGCTCTGCTGAGCCCACCTCGCCCCAAAACCTCTCAGTCTTCCCAGAAGATGGAGACGACTTCAGAACATTGGCGTTTGTCTAACTGCTCAGGCTGTTGGTCAGGGTTGGTCACACCTGGTAATTGTAGTCATCCATGAGCGTGGTGAATGTTCTGTTGACGTGAAATGGCTGGCTTTTTTATTTTTTTCTTCTGGCACTTGAAAAGAACAGATGCTTCTCTTTTCTCCATCTTTATCTTTTCCCAAGACTCTTGTCATGTCTGTCTGTCTGCAGAGCGTGTCTCTGCATACCTCCTGGAAACTCAATTTTCAATTAATCATGGATTTGGTCAACTGGTCATTCAAAGACACTGACAACATCTTTTCAACAACGAGAACGGAACAGGGGTCTCCAACTTGTCTGGATGGAGCACCCCTGGTGGGGTATATTTTGGATTCCTGGAAGGAGTGGAATATGCCTTTCCCAGCTGCTCGTGGAGGGAATCGAAGACACATGGATTTTCAGTCTGATGATTACTGGAATCCTTCTAATTGGAGTGGGAGGATTTCTGGTGGTTTAGAAAATCGGGAAGTCGGGGCGATTGGAGTGCCACCCGTAGAAAGTCTCAGCCATGTGGAGACTGCTCAGACTGGGCCGCTGCCCCGGGTGAATCGCAAGTTAGAGTTCCTATCTGCGATCCTGGTGTTAGTGCACAAGATGATGTGATCTTGGAGAAAGTCCCTGCATGATGCAAATTCCATGCTGTCGTTCTTTTTAAAACACAGAAACGGTTTCGTTATCTGTTTTGTCGCTACGTTTCGCCGGCGGCTGCAGGCTTCCTCAGGCTGACGCTGATGGTGGCGCGTCACTTCCTTCTCCGTTTATCCGCGGGCAGCAGAGGACGTTGTCGCCCTCTACTGCCCGCTCTCCCCTCTCCCATGCGCGGTCCAACGTGTACACTCCGTCGTCCCTGTTCATGGTCCCTGCTGCAAACCCAATGCACACGAATGGGAAGTGTGACATCATTTGTATTCGAACGGATAGTAAGAATGTTATTATGGATATCTGGAATATAAAAATGTACTTATCAGCAATAGATATCCAATCTGCTTATAAATGTTGCCCATTTAATTTAGAGGATTTGGGCATGTCTCAGATCAGTGCAGCTCATACCCTTATGTAACATTTCTACCACTAACAAAATACCCGTCGACATCTGAATTTTCCATTTGACTAGTAATGATATTATTGAGACTGTGATCAATTAAAATGTTGCTTTGTGAACTAGAGATGCAACAAAGAGGCGTGGTTGTTATAAAATTTTAAAATTGTTCATTAAATTCTAATTCAGTCTATCGCCCCCTGCTGGTATTCCTGTTATCAACAAGAATAAAATAAACAGGCAATCAAAATTTTACTGGAAGTTTCTATTTTTTTGTGTTTTAATGTTTCCGCATTAATCAGCTGGAGGTTTGCGAACATTTACAGAGTTGATATTTCACTACTGTAGGTAAAACAGATGTTTAACAACCTCTAAAATTTAGAGTCTAAATGCACCAGAATGTAGGAAATACCCCCCCCCCCCCACACACACACACACACACACACATTTTTTATGCTTCTGACTGACACCCATGCTTTGCACATTACATGCAGTTCCACTAAATGCACTTCACAAAGGACTGTATGTGTGGGCCCTTGCCCCCCCCCAGTCACTCGCCCAGCACACCTACTCCTAATCAGCTCATCTGTCCTCACGTGGTACTCATCATCCCACAGTTTCAGAGGTCCCTGGCTGGTTCAGCGGGTGTTAGATCCCCCCATTTAGTCCTGTTTGTTGCTGCTGCTGCTAACCCCGCCGTTTCAACGTCCTCAGCAGACGTTACTGAACGGCTTTTGAGCTCACCTGCCTGCCTCCTGGTGTTTTCACCTGCACTGTGAGTCCAACACCAACAAAATCGTGACAGTCATCCGTTGTGATGTTGGCAGAAATAACCGTTATAGATTTCTGGGAACAAACATGAAGCACATGACTAAGCCTCAGCATGACAGTCATGTGTGACAGAGTTTAATAAGTGGATAACTCCATGTCAGTTGATTTGATCTCCCTTTTAAAGGCGCAGAGCTGGAGATGCCCACAGCTGGAGTTACTTAAGGAGAATAAATACCAGTTACCAAAACTATCTGTTTGGTTCTAAAAGATGCTGCTAACAATTTTATACATTTCATGTTATGCAAAAATCAGCTGTTTTGCTCTTTTCATAAATTTGTGAACCTCACGATCACCAAGACCCCCCCCCCCCCACCCCCGCAGCTCTCCTCCTGCAGGTTCAGCACGACAGACTTTAACCAAATGCTGGTGTGTTAATCTAATGGTTCATAGAAAAAGCTAACATGCCATGGTAACATCAGTGCTTGTAGGAATCATGGCATCAAGGTAATTAAGTCTAGGATTCTGAGTTTGTATCTGTAAGATGAAAACCGTGATGGAGAGGCGCTGCGGGAACCTTTAGAACTCTGAAACAGACCTGCTGAAAATAAAACTGAATAAATTCACCTTTAAAATATCCCAAAGTGTTTATGAGTGAGTCGTGCAGCACAGGTCTGCTGTCGTGGCCTGGTGGAGTGAAACCTCAGCTCCTGACAGCAATATGAAAGTACATCTTTTTGAACGAAGTAATATGGAGAGAAGAAAAGCTCGCCTCTTGTATGGATGATGATGATGATGATGATGATGATGATGATGATGATGATGAGGATCCAGGCCCATAAGAACCTCCCTCTGACTGCCGTCGGTAGCTGCAGACTGACCCTCTCCTGTAGCAGACCAGAGACGCTGACTCTCAGCTCTGTCTTCGTGCTAACATGAGGTTTGAGGAAGTCCTGCATGAAGTTGGAGGCTTCTGTAAATATCAGTTTCTGGTCCTGCTGGTCCTGTGTCTGCCCCGTGCCATCCTGCCTCTTCACTTTCTCCTACACAACTTCGTCTCTGCCACCCCTCCTCACCGCTGCTCCCTCGGGAGCCCAGAAGAAAGAAATGGAAGCAACATTCCTTTAATCCCAGAGATGCTGGTCCTCAGGATCCCCCGCCATAAAGATGGCTCCTTCAGCTCCTGTAGGGTCTATGATCCTCTACTGACCAACAACCTCAGCTGGGAAAACGGAACCGTACTTTGTCCTCATGGCTGGGTCTACGACCAGTCCCAGTTCATCTCCACAACTACCTCAGAGGTAAAGATTTATCCTTTCAATTCATTGTTGTAAAAGGCAAACAGCAGACAGCACCAAGACGGGGTTTTTAGCCACACCATGAAATGAATGCTTATTCACAACATTCACAACACTAAATATGATGATGATGATGCTTATTGTTGTTATTATTACTACATTTGTAGTTTACTATGTTCAAGTGAAATAAAACTGGGTTGTGCGTAAATGAGTAGAAAATAAGAGAAAGTCACAGTTGCACAGAACCTCGTTGGGTTGTCTGCCAGGATGCAGCAAACATTCCTAACCAGTAGTTTATTATTACCTAACAAATTACTTAACCAGTAGTTTATTATTATCTAACCAGTAGTTTATTATTACTTAACCACTAGTTTAATATTACTTAACCAGTAGTTTATCATTACCTAACCATTTTTTAATCATTACCTAACCAGTAGTTTATTATCACCTAACCAGTAGTTTATCATTACTTAACCAGTAGTTTATTATTACTTAACCAGTAATTTATCATTACCTAACAATTTTTCGTCATTACATAACAAGTAGTTTATTATTACCTAACCAGTAGTTTATAATTACTTAACCAGTAGTTTATTATTACCTAACCAGTAGTTTATCATTACTTAACCAGTAGTTTATTATTACCTAACCAGTAGTTTATCATTACCTAACCATTTTTCGTCATTACATAACCAGTAGTTTACTATTGCCTAACCAGTAGTTTATTATTACTTAACCAGTAGTTTATCATTACCTAACCAGTTTTTCATCCCTACATAACCAGTAGTTTATTATTACTTATACAGTAGTTCATTATTACTTTACCAGTAGTTTATCATTACCTAACAATTTTTCGTCATTACATAACCAGTAGTTTATTATTGCCTAACCAGTAGTTTATTATTACTTAACCAGTAGTTTATCATTACCTAACCAGTTTTTCATCCCTACATAACCAGTTTTTCATCCTTACATAACCAGTAGTTTATTATTACTTATACAGTAGTTCATTATAACTTTACCAGTAGTTTATCATTACCTAACAATTTTTGTCATTACATAACCAGTAGTTTATTATTGCCTAACCAGTAGTTTATTATTGCCTAACCAGTAGTTTATTATTACATAACCAGTAGTTTATTATTGCCTAACCAGTAGTTTATTATTACTTAACCAGTAGTTTATCATTACTTAACCAGTAGTTTATTATTACTTTACCAGTAGTTTATCATTACCTAACAATTTTTTGTCATTACATAACCAGTAGTTTATTATTGCCTAACCAGTAGTTTTTTATTACATAACCAGTAGTTTATTATTGCCTAACCAGTAGTTTATTATTACTTAACCAGTAGTTTATCATTACCTAACAAGTAGTTTATGATTACCTAACCAGTTTTTCATCATTTACTAACCAGTAGTTTATCATTACTTAACCAGTAGTTTGATATTACCTAATCAGTAGTTTATCATTATCTAACCAGTAGTTTATTATTACTTAACCACTAGTTTAATATTACTTAACCAGTAGTTTATCATTACCTTACCCATTTTTCATCATTACATAACCAGTTTTTCATCATTATATAACCAGTAGTTTATTATCACCTTACCAGTAGTTTATCATTACCTAACCAGTTTTTCATCATTCCCTAACCAGCAGTTTATTATTACTTAACCAGTAGTTTATCATTACTTAACCAGTAGTTTATTATTACCTAACCAGTAGTTTATCATTATATAACCACTAGTTTATTATTACCTAACCAGTAGTTTATCATTATATAACCAGTAGTTTATATTACATAACCAGTAGTTTATTATTACCTAACCAGTAGTTTATCATTACTTAACCAGTAGTTTATTATTACCTAACCAGTAGTTTATCATTATATAACCAGTAGTTTATTATTACCAAACCAGTAGTTTATCATTATATAACCAGTAGTTTATTATTACATAACCAGTAGTTTATTATTACATAACCAGCAGTTTATTATTACATAACCAGTAGTTTATCATTACTTAACCAGTAGTTTATTATTACCTAACCAGTAGTTTATCATTATATAACCAGTAGTTTATTATTACATAACCAGTAGTTTATCATTATATAACCAGTAGTTTATTATTACCTAACCAGTAGTTTATCATTATATAACCAGTAGTTTATTATTACATAACCAGTAGTTTATTATTACATAACCAGCAGTTTATTATTACCTAACCAGTAGTTTATCATTACTTAACCAGTAGTTTATTATTACCTAACCAGTAGTTTATCATTATATAACCAGTAGTTTATTATTACATAACCAGTAGTTTATCATTACATAACCAGTAGTTTATCATTACATAACCAGTAGTTTATCATTACTTAACCAGTAGTTTATCATTACGTAACCAGTAGTTTATCATTACATAACCAGTAGTTTATCATTACATAACCAGTAGTTTATCATTACATAACCAGTAGTTTATCATTACTTAACCAGTAGTTTATCATTATGTAACCAGTAGTTTATCATTACATAACCAGTAGTTTATCATTACATAACCAGTAGTTTATCATTACTTAACCAGTAGTTTATTATTATGTAACCAGTAGTTTATCATTACATAACCAGTAGTTTATCATTACATAACCAGTTGTATCTTCTGGACAGAAACATTGTTATAACGATCAGCAGGGCTGACTGGTGAAGTCCCTGCTCATCCTAACTGGTTTACCTCTTTGCAGTGGGACCTGGTCTGCAAAGACAAACCGCTGAATCAAGCTCTGGCTTCCTACTTTTTCCTCGGAGTCACATTTGGAGCAATCCTATTTGGACAGCTTTCAGATAAGTAAGCTCTTCAGGGTAGAACAGTATTGTGCTGTACACACTGAAACTGTTTCTGTAAAATAGGACAATCAAACCATTTTAACAAGTGAGAGTAAACAACTTTACACCCTCCTTTAATCTGAGTCCAGATGAAAACTAATACAACCCAATGGAACACATACTTGTACTTTCTGCTAAAATTGTTCCACGATACTGACTCTGACAGGCATCCAAACTCTTAATATTTACTACTAAAGTAGATCCTCACCACTTATTTTCCATTTTGGTAAATGTGTGAGTAAAGAAAAAGGACAGAAATAAAAATAACCACAGTCCCACATACTCTCTGGAACCCCAAACCAAGAAAAACACCTGGCAGAATTCCATTTTCTGTAGCTCATTATGAACGAGGTAAGACTCCGAATGGTAGCATGCAAGTTTCAAACCTACACCTACTCTGTGAACGCAAATGTGCGGCTACAGGGCTCATACCCGGTGTTTGGCGCCGCTGTTCCCAGTGGTGTTTTGCCGTAATGTTTTCCCAAGTCTAAGTTACTTGTTATTTTCATTTGCAGTCAATGTGATTTTTGAGGTCACCAAGAAGATTAAAGGTCATTACAGAGCAATTTTCATGACTTTTTCACGTGAATGCTAGTTTTTACCATTCACTTACATTGTTCATGCTAAGCTAAAGCTAATGGGGTGGTTACAAAACATTTTTCTCCCCACTTATCTAACTTTGGGGAATATGGCAACAGACTTATGGGTGGAAAATCCATTTAAGTATCTGGTTATTGTTGCTCCTCTCTCAACCCTACCATGAGTCTGGGCTTTGTTCTCAGGAATAGGGAGGGAGCCTAAGTGTCCTCCATTCTGGTTGGCTAATGGGTCCGTGGAAGAATGAAAAACTGAATGGAAGTCATTGGGGCTAAAAAAACCTATTTTCTAACCTGCTTTGCCTTACGCCCTGGGTCGCAAATATGTTGTACTTCAATTTAAATGAACAGTAATGATGTGATCAATGATGAAAATTGGCTGTTCTAAATCTGAGACCATGGTCTTGAGTCAGAAAAGGGTAGAATGCCTTCTCCGGGTCAGGGATGAGGTCCTGCCTCAAGTGGAGGAGTTTAAGTATCTCTTTGTCTTGTTCACGAGTGAGGGAAAGATGGAGCATGAGATCGATAGGCGGATCAGTGCTGCATCTGCAGTGATGCGGGCGTTGTACCGGTCTGTCGTGGTGAAGAGAGAGCTGAGTCAGAAGACAAAGCTCTCGATTTACCGGTCGATACACGTTCCTACCCTCACCTATGGTCATGAGCTTTGGGTAGTGACCGAAAGAACGAGATCACGGATACAAGCGGCTGAAATGAGTTTTCTCTGCTGGGTGGCTGGGCTCTCCCTTAGAGATAGGGTGAGAAGCTCGGTCATCAGGGAGGGGCTCGGAGTAGACCCGCTGCTCCTCCACGTAGAGAGGAACCAGTTGAGGTGGCACAGGCATCTGGTCAGGATGCCTCCTGGACACCTTCCTTGTGAGGTTTTCCAGGCACGTCCAACCGGGAGGAGGTCTAAAGGTAGACCCAGGACACGGTGGAGGGACTATGTTTCACCTGGCCAGGGAACACCTTGGGATTCCCCTGGAGGAGCTGGCCCAAGTGGCTGGGGAGATGGAAGTCTGGGCCTCTCGACTTAGGCTGCTGCTCCCACGACCCGATCCCGGATAAGTGGCTGAATATGGATGCATGGATGGATAGATGGAGTAATGGTGTGTGTTTTGACCACACCTGTCACGGACTTTGAGATCTATCAGCTTGTAAAACTTTGTAATTACTATATTATGTTGCATGTATGATGTCACTACAGAATCTCCCTCCCCTGGCGTCGCTGCTACTCACCACATGGCGAGCTTCATGGTGTTTCTTTCCTCCCGAGCGAAAGATTTGAAGTTCACTGAGAACATCTCTCCTCTGCTCTACTCGGTGTCTGGCATTCGTAGCCCTGAACGTATTTTCTAAAATGAAAATAAGTGCTTTCTTAACGTCGGAATGTGCCTCTTAAGTTCCCAGACATCATATGTGAAATCCATGACACATAACAAATGGGATTAGAAAATAGTGATGTTAGGCTCATGGACTTGCATTCATTGATGCGTTCTTCTGGGGACCCATGGTCCTGAAGGAGATGGGTGTGACTCCCTAGGTGACCAGTCTTGTTATTAGGTGACAGGCTGTTGGCATCCCAGCGGGGCTCATGTCTGTGGTGAGACTTGACATCAGGGTGATGGTTTCCTGCAATATAGGTGCAGCTCTGAACCTCCCAAACGATCCCATTCTATTTCACACCCTCTTGAATCTAATCAATACAACAATTCCCTCACAACAAAGACTATCCACGCCAACGGGTAGGCAGGAGGTAGGTAGGAGGGGTATTTATTGGTAGTTTCAGCTCATCAGGCAACAACAGACCGCTTCGGTTTAGAAGCTCGACTCTCCCGTGTTCCAGTCAGAATTGACTAAGCTTGAAACGTCTTCCAGAAACCAAAGAAGTCCAGTTTCCTTTGGATTACCGTGACCTGCATGACCTTCACCAGCATCACCTGTAAATCTCTACTACGGACTCCTTCCGCTTCCTCGGAACCACCATCACACATGACCTTCGGTGGGAGCCATCCATCAGCTCCCTGATCAGAAAGGCCCAGCAGAGGATGTACTTTCTGCAGCAGTTGAGAAAGGCCAAGCGGCCGGCCCAGATGATGGTGCAGTTTTACACGGCCATCATTGAGTCCATCCTCACCTCCTCCATCGCTGTGTGGTACGCTGGAGCCACAGTGAGCGACAAACACAGACTGCAGCGCATTGTGCGCTCTGCTGAGAAGGTGATTGGCTGCAGCCTTCCATCTCTCCAGGACCTGTACGTCTCCAGAACTCGTGGGCGTGCAGGTCGGATAGCAGCTGACCCTTCTCACCCGGGTCACAGACTTTCTGAGCCGCTTCCCTCAGGCAGGAGGTTACGGTCCATCCAGACCAGAACCTCCCGCCATAAGAACAGCTTCTTTCCATCTGCCGTTAGACTTGTGAACAGCTTATAAACACACAACCATGCTGGTCTTCTGTACTCGACACAGCGTCACGTTATCGGCCATGTTACCATTACCTGCCTTTTTTATCGCTGAAAGTTTTATTCTAGTTTTTTTATTCTATTTTATTCTATTTTTCATCTTATTATTCATGTTATATGTAGCACATTAGTACCGAAGCAAGTTCCTAGTTTGTGAATTGTTTGTTCACTGGCAATGGCAATAAACCTATTCTGATTCTGATTCTGATCCGGTCAGCTGTTGCTGCTGGGATGAGCGTGTTGCACCAAACGGAAACTTTTAGAGGTTTTTTTTGTGACGTGACATTTTAGTGATCTTCTCTAATACAAACGTTGTCTGAAATCCTAGATGTTTACCTTGAGTTGACGTGAGATTTGCCCGGGTGTGTGGTTGTTCTGCATCTAAATACTAAGAAGCAAACAGTCAGCATCACCAGATCTGTCTTACAAGCACGCCTCATAACAACTCCTCCACTGCAGACGTTTATGATAAAAAAGTAAAAACAACTAATAAACATGAATGAAACATTTTTTCACATCTTCATCACCTTGATGCTAACTCCTCACAAGGAAATCACATGATTTTTCTCGACGGCGAACATTTCCACAGACAGCAGAGGATTCCCAACAGCTCACTGGTTATTTAACTAATAAGTGTTTTCTGGTGAGTTAGACACACTCGATGCTCTGGTTGACTCACAGACTTGTAATGAAATAAACGCACAACTGACCAGAACATCCGAGTCATGCATGTCTAATGAAGCAGTGCCTCTGGTCTTTGAGCATGCTTGTATTTGTGTGAACACGGTGAAGAGGACAGAGCAAAAATGTTTACGTCAGAATCTACAGGAAGACATTTTGTGTTTTTTTTATTCGTTGTTCTTCTTTAGTGCCGCTTTCGCCCGTCTCCCTGGTTTGTGTTCCTGTAAACAAACGTTGGTCACACTTGTGTGTGATTATTAACGTTTATTCAAACACAGTCAGCTGATGGCAGGGGCGCAGATAGGATTTTCAAACTGGGGGGGACAAAGTTCCAATGTACCCCCCCCCCACCACCCCCCACCCACACACACACACACACACACACACACACACACACACACACACACTACAGAACCATCCTGATGAACTTCCTGTTTGAGGTGAGTTGTTGGGTCCAAAGCAAACCCTGAACTATTGAACTGTAAAGCTGCAGCCAGGAAGTGACCTCATAATTTCTATGCAGGTGTTTAACCTTCTGGAAACCCCAGCTGGAACCAGGATCGTTTACGGGCTAAACAATGGTCTACAGTCCATCTTCCCTAATGTGTTTGTGGCCCTGCAGATTTTTCTAACTCTACCTGCACTTCTTATATGTACCTCTCACCGTTCATAAGGATGCCGCACCGTCAGCTACGTCAGCCCAGACAAAAGCAGAGACAGAATAGAGGATAATTGTGTCTGGATGTGGATGGAGATTACATTTTACAGCAGCCTGTCCATCATTTAAATACGTAACCCATCACCTGTCTTCTAGTCCACGCTATCAGCATTATTTTAATTGGTGTGTGTGTGTGTGTGTGTGTGTGTGTGTGTGTGTGTGTTTTCCACTTCAAACACTGGTCTAACCAACCAGACCAGCGTGTCCAGTAACATATTAATGTTTCACTTCATGTAGGCTAGGAACATGTCACCTGCCGTGGCCCGACCGCTTCTGCTCCACATGAACTTTGTGCGTGATCAAATGTCTCTACAGGAGCTTTCTGAGCTGAAGAGGCTATTCTGCCTCAGACTGGATGCGTCATGCGTCTCCATATTAGAGACGGGAACAAGCGCTGTTCAGCCAAAGTTTCATAATTTCATAAAAAGAACATTTTTCCAAGTGACACATCCCTCAGAGAGACCGGCTTTCCTGACCGCTTCAGTGGGAGGAAATCTTACCGCATCGCTGTGGTTCTGCGCTGCGAACCCCTCTACAGATCTTCAGCCCACTGTCCACCGTGGGCGCTCCGATCCGCACTGAGCACAGTGTCCAGTATAAAGCTCTGATGTTCTGATGGGAATCTTTTCTTGATTGATTTTAGTTACCTCCGCGATGTGCGTAACGATTAAAATGTCAGCTCATCTGTGTGTGCATCAGTGTGCGTCGGGGTAATTCTTTCAAAACAACCAACATCCTTGAGTTTATCCGTCAAAATAAACAGTCAAATGGAAATATCTGTAACCTGCCATTTAACTGTTTTGCCTTCTTGTGAAGATTGTTGCAGAGAGAAACAACTAAACTTGATTAACCCCAGAGCCACGCGCACTGCGCTGTACTTCCTGACTGTAAATGAGGGGGAACGATTTAATCAGATCCTTTTCTGATGGTTTAGACTCACACGTCAAAACCATCTCCCGCTCTTGTTTCTTTCAACTGAGAAACATTTCAAAAGTCCGTAAACTGGTTTCTACTGCAGATCTGGAAAAAATCACCCATGCCTTTGTGTCATCACGCTTAGACTACTGTAACGCTCTTTTTACTGGTCTCAGCAAAACCTCCCTCTCACGCCTTCAAGCCATCCAAAATGCAGCAGCCAGACTCCTAACCAAATCCAGCAGACGAGCTCACATCACTCCAGTTCTACAGTCCCTCCACTGGCTCCCGGTAGAATATAGAATACAGTTTAAAGTTTTAGTCCTGACCTATAGAGCTCTTAACAACCAGGCTCCAAGCTACCTATCTGAGCTTTTATCCCCACACACCACCTCTCGGAACCTTAGATCCACATCTGAAAACCTGCTGGCTGTTCCTGGAACCAGACTGAAAACCAAAGGGGACAGGGCCTTTCAGACTATTGCACCCAGACTTTGGAACAGTCTACCTTCAAATCTCCGTCTCTCTAACACTGTAGAGGTCTTTAAAAATCATCTAAAAACTCACCTTTTCATCCAGGCGTTCCCTCCCTAAATGTTTCAAAAAGATGGCTTTGTTCGGGTTCACACCTTCACTTTGTTTATACTCATGATTTTATTTTCTACGTTTAACACTGCTATTGTTTTTCTAATGTTTTTATTGGTTAGAGGTATTTGCCCTGATCTTTATCATGTTGTACAGCGCTTTGTGATTTATATCTGAGAAAGGCGCTCTATAAATAAACTTTTACTTACTTACTCACTTACTTTTCTTTTCAACATGGTTTAATGTAAAGTTTCATTCAGTACACTCAGTATCGTTTATCTGGACTCTGTGTTAGGTGGATAAGGTGAAACTGACCTTCTTTGCTGAACACCTTTTACTGTCATCAACCATAATCATCTTAATCATTATTATACCCAAAGCATAATAATTCATTTCATGTAATTAAAATACCTTTATACTGAACCAGGTGATCATTTATGATGATTATGAAAAACAGTAATAAAATAAATGAGTTTTATTAATATTATTATCTAATTATTATCATCCTGAACTTGAAGTGTCCTCCTGGGATGGAACAGCAGCAGATATGGATATCATCTTGAGCAGACATCGTGGCTCCTTGTTTAATCTGTGGATTTAAAAGTACTGTTTGACCTAGCTTGACCCAGCTGGGTAGATGTGCCCTTTGCCACAGATTAGAGAACCTTCATCACGTTACAACAGAAATTTTACACTGACATACTGGGTTAAGGTTAGGATGGGGGTCAGGGGAAGGTTAAATCGCTGGAGGTTACCGCTAGCGTTGGATACCGACGCTCTGGCACAGCACGCCGCCTCCCGATGCACAGGGGCTCCCTATTCGTCAGAAACAAACGCACCGCATCATTTTTTGACGCTTAGGGTGTGAGAATGTGTTGGTTGCAGCTGTCGGGTGGTGGTGGAGTACAATCTGTTAAAAGGCAGGTTAAGCTCACTAGCCCAGCTCTGGTCCCCTTCAGCGGGCACCACTCCTCCCACTGTGACCTGTGATGTTCCTGAGGCCTCTCCATGCACCGTGAGCATTGTTCTGCCCTAGCTGTTTCTCCAGCTGCTGAAGTGCCTTTAGCCCGTCTTCAACCGTCTCTGCTCCTATTTGTCAACACCTATAAAAGCTTTCTTCTTATTGTTCAGCAGGGATGTCAGCTCAGGGGTCAACCAGGGCTTATTATTGGAGAAACCGAGACAGCCAGAGAAGCTATAGGCAACACACTTTGTTGATCAAGCTGTACATGAATATTTTCCCCAGTTAAACGTTGTTTATCGATGACATGGTCTCAGTGTCACATCCTGGCTGTTAGACTGGTGGCACAGACAGCACAACAGGACAAAATGAACCTTTCTTTACAGCCATGTGTACTGGCTTGTCAGCATTTTCGTTATTTGTGTTTAATTCCTTCTTCACTAGAACATGTGGTGGCCTTCCACCCTGAGGGGGCTGGGGCGCTCCACTCCTTTTATCCACATTTCTCTGCACTTGCTGTGATGAGCTCACACAATAACAGCTTTATTTCATCTTAACTTCAGATAAAGGATTCTCTGTCTGCTTTACTTTAGCTCTGTTCCTAAATAGGTTTATTCATCTTAGAATCATCACCCTGATGCTCAGGAAAGAAACTCGACCATCTGAAGCCCATTCCCTTTAGATTTAGATCTTAAAATGTTGGAATTTTTATGTGTCTTATTTGCTCCTACTGCTCCATCAACCTCTGTGTTGTTTTGAATGTTTTTATCTGTTTTTTGTTGGAAGGTGTCCTTGGGTTTGAGAAAGGTGCCCTCAAATAAAAATGTATTATTATTATTAAGGATGTAAGAAAATATCGATATGGCAATATATCGTGATAATTTTTCCTGCGATTATTACATCGATATTCAAAAGCCGTGTACCTAATTCCTGAAAGAATTTACATGCAAACTTTTGTGTATTTTCTTTTCGTTTTGCGCAATTCAATCGCCACCCACTAGTTGGCAGCAGTGTGCAGCGGGTTTTGTTTCCACCACTGAAATGTAAATCCCTCCATCATGGTTCAGATTCCTCATGTTAAACATGTTACGTATCAGTTTGGACTGTTTATTGAACATTCTTACAATAAATTCAGTAAAAAAATTGCTTGTAACGTCTGACTGAATGTATCGCAATATATCGTGATATGTATCGTATCGCCAGAATTTCAAAAATACACATCCCTACTTATTATTATTATTATTATTATTATTATTATTATTATTATTATTATTATTATTATAAAGACTTTCTCGTGTGTGTTTTCTCTCTGGGTTGCAGATTTGGTCGTAAGTCCATGCTCCTGTTGGCTTTAGTTGCTACTACAATGTTTGGAGCCACCTCCGCCTTCTCCACCTCCTACACCATGTTCGCCATCTCCAGAGCTCTTTCTGGCGTCGCCCTCTCTGGTCTTTCCATCATTGGAGTGGTTCTCGGTAAACACTTGCCACATGCACCATTAAATTAGAGAACGAGAAGTAGAAGTATATTTCCCGTTGTTTCTGTGCGTGTTAATCCCTCACTGGGACTCAGCACTAGGACAGACGGCCATTCCTCTCAGGTGTGATCACCTTGCCTCTCGAGGAACACTGAAGGGCTCTTCTTGCTGGTGAATGTCCTGGTGAGGCTTTTTCCAGAAGGTCTCACTTGTTCTTGGGAGACAGCTTGGTGTCATCCATGTATGTACGCCATGGTGACCCCAGATGACCTATAAAAATAATGTTGAATATTTAAAAAACCACAGCAGCACAAACGTAGCACTAACCACTCCACCTATTTGTGTGGATTTCTGATCTGGGTGGGGTTGCAGCTTTGTCTACGTAGAGAGGAGGTAGCTGTAGCTGTACCAGCAGCAGTGACGGTTCAGACACCCCAGCTGAAGATCATCTTTCATTCTGCATGAATAAACGTTATCATGAGGCGATGGTGGTTCAGGGGTAACGGGTTCTTCCTGTAAAGCGGGGGTTGCAGGTTCAAAACCAAGCTCTTGTAGTCCTATAGGTTGTACTGTCCTTGGGCAGGACCCCCCCCCCCGCCTGCTGGTGGTGGTCAGAGGGGCCGGTGGCGCCTGCGTTCAGCAGCCTCACCTCCACAGGGTGCCCCAGGGCAGCTGTAGCTACGCTGTAGCTCATCACCACCATGCAGAAATAAAAGGTCGGCCACAAAAAATGACTTTATGTAATAAAAGGACTCAAACAAGTGCAGGTGATTAATCATTCAATGATGCTTTTTGCACGTCTGGAAACCTTGATGCAGAAGATTTCCCTTTTCCACAACTTCATATGATTTTACGCACATTTAATAATTATGTTAAAAATCAAACAACTGCACCAGAAATCCTTTTAACATTTGGCTCCATTTCCTCCGGAGGCATTGAGTGGACCGATGTAGAGCACCGGACGTTTACTGGAACCATCATGAGTCTGTCGTGGAGTGTGGGGAACATGTTTCTCGCTCTACTGGCCTTCTTCTTCAGAGACTGGAGGCATCTGACGCTGGCTGTGACCGCGCCTTGTGTTGCTGCCATCATCTTCTGTTGGTGAGCTTGGTATCTGGAGTTTTGGTTCTACTTGCTGAGTGTCTCTTCAAATCCTTTATTTTTTCCTCAGGTGGCTGCCCGAGTCGGCACGCTGGCTGTTGGCAACCGGAAGAACCGAGGAAGCCAAGAAGTATTTGGTTCAGTGTGCTAAAGTAAACAAGAAGTATCCGTGTACATCCAAGTTGGACACTGAGGTACACCTAGAGGGCAAGACTAAGCTTTTTTTTCCAAAAATGACAATATCAACAATAGCAGAGTGCTCTTTTCCTCAGGAAAGGAGTTAGTAACCCCCATCCTGTCTTCCAGCTGAGATGTTTCTGGCCTCTTTCAGCACTAAAAACATTAGACAAAGTATTTTAGCAATTAAAACATTCATTATGACCATTAAGATGTGATGATTCCATATAAAAATGAAATATCAGCCTGATTGATCTTTGAATGTTTAATCAGAAAAGTCTAGGGTCCTTTGCTTCTTCAGGGATCATAAACACACTTCGTATTAATTCAGACAGAGTCAGTATGTTGTTTATAATATTAATGTAATTATTTTTCCTGAACTAATAATTTATACATGAGTACATACGAATAATGAGATGTGGTGTGATGGATCTGGAGAGATTTAATGTGATGTGTGAAATGTAATGGAAGCTTTGTATCTGAGAAAACAGTGTTGTTTTGATTGAAAGCCTCATCAGACTCCAGTATGCAGGCTTACGATACCCTGGAGTTGCTCCCGGCGGTCCGGAGGGGTGAGGGCACCGGACGTCGAAACCACGATATTCAGAGATTAGTAGCTGCCTCTGAGTTCAGCTTCCCCGGCCATGAGATGCAGCCCGGGGTCTGCAGATTAGGCGTCCAAGGTGGATGTCTGAGAGTTGAAGCAGCTCTGAAAAGAGCTGTTGTGTCTGTAATCGCTCGCAGCGTCACAGAAAGGTTTTGACTTAAGGTCACAGGAGTTTGTTTCAAAAAGACTTCTTTCCCGATTTATCCGAATCGGGGTTCAGCTGGAAACTAAATTAATCAGGAAGTAATTCTTGTTTTTTTAAAATACTTTGTTATGATTTCTGGCCTCGTTTGGCTAATCAGAATCTGACACTTTTCTGAGTGTTTACCAACATCCCTCAGAAAGCCACGCCCTCCTTCAGATACAAAGATGTTATTAACCTTAATATGTATCTTACTGTAATGTGTATGAGTATAGATGATGACTGACTTGTTAAATCAAACACATACTGATTTATAACTGGATCATTGTAAGAACAACATTCATTTCAAATTCACTGACTTAAGCACAGATTATTCAAACATTTCATTTAAACATCTGGTTCATTCTTCACATGTGATTATTTAACTTACAACCGTAAAATCCTGTAGGATCTTCCAGTAGCTAGTGAGGATTCAGCAGTCTGGCTCCTGCATCAGACCTCGGGACAGATTGTTTATTTCTGCGTTGAGGAACAATAATTTGGTAGAGGTTGATTTGTGTGTCCGTACCCTCCAGCTGGTGCAGCCTTGACTTTGCAGTTCCTGGCGTGTATGAAAGGTTATGCTGTGTCAATTAGGTGGTGAAAAATTGACCCTTTTGGGCGTTACAACTCCCCCCCTTTCCAAGGTCACGGGGTCATGGCAGAAGACCACAAGGCATTGGACAATCTTAGAGACACTGAGGACTCAGCAGAGGAAGACAGAGTTAGTTCCCAGGCACCGAAGCATCATGACTGAGGAAAAGCAACCCCCCCCCCCCCCCCCCCCCCCACACACACACACACACAGGAGAATAGTCAATAGAAATCCTAATCAGGAAATAGTTATCACACATAATGAAATCTGCAGACAGGGACCACGATGAGAAGGAAACCAGATCCACGAGCAGACCAGATGTGTACTGGTGTACTGGAAACGTGTTGCATTGTATTTTTTTAACCCCCTTCATAATACACCCTGACCAAACTGGTTTCATCAAGGGTAGACAGTCATCCACTAATTCACATAGATTACTTAATTTGATAGATTTCTCTTACAGTAGAAACATAGAAACTAGCAGAGGTGGAAAGAGTACTAAAATTTCCTACTTAAGTACGAGTACCAATGCTTTGATAATTTTTTACTCAATTACAAGTAAAAGTACTTGCCTAAATTTTTACTTAAGTAAAAGTAAAAAGTATCGTAAACAAAATGTACTCAAAGTAAAAGTTACTTAGTTACATTTTTGTCAGCGTAAGGATGGCTACATCTAAGTAGTGCTAAATCACAACGCCAGTTCACAATTCGCTCGTGTGTGTGTGCGCACACACACATCCACACACGCTCAGCTTGAAGGAGGGATTTCTATCCAGTCAGTGAGAGCAGGACGTGCACATTGATTGGACGAGGTTTTTCTAGGATGGTAAGTTTCAATAGTGGTTAAAATTATTCTTTATTTTGAGAAAAAATAATTTTTTAAGATGCCATCAGTGTGTGAGGTATCTCAATGTTCTCATGACAAAACTCTAACATGAGACTGCTCTAACCTGTCCCATAACAAGCCAAATGCAGTCAAACATTTCAGATGGACCGTATGACAGCTGCTAGCGTTGGCCCTGCTCTACTTTACCTCTACATTACAGTTCCTTTATCCATGTCCATCCAGGCGAGGAGGCAACATCTGGGCACATGAACCCAGGTCCACACAGGAGAGCAGGAATGGGAATCCTGTAGCAGCCAGAGTTATGGTTTTATTAGGACCAATACAAAACAGCCTAACTTCAAACACACTGTTCTATTGGCCACCTTATGGACCACTTCTTCAGTGGTTTGGCTTTCAGCTGCTTTAGTTCAGTTTATGATTACACGGGACCTGCGATTCAGCCACAGTGCAACAGAATGAGCTTTATTAAACAGAATCTGGGTTTGAGCTCCGATGCGGGAATCCTCGCAGCTCGGAGCGCCACAGACACCCAAAGACTCAAAAAGCACATTTCAAAGATGTGGCTGTTGAAGCGGAGGCAGAAGCGTCGGGAGGATACGGAGAGGGTCGCTGGTCCAGAAAACAGAAAAGCAGTAGAGATCCATCGAGGCCAAGGCAGGGATGCTCCAGGGACATCTGACCCTCTACGGGTGCAAGACTGTTGGTAGTCTGGAGTTTACACCATCAGAAGCACGCTTTCCTGCATGTTTTAGTTGTTTACCTGCTTTTATTCAGCAGGTGACTAACAGGCCTCTGCAGAGCTTGATGATTCAACCACTGAAACAGACAGGGCTCCCCACCCCTGGCTGTAGTGAAGCTGAACCTCGTGCCACTGAAGGCTGAGCCCTCAGTCCCAGAGCAGTGGCTGCTAGCTCCCTGTCACCAAGGCGGATGGATAAGGAGTTCACTGTGGAGACATTGGAGAATCCTGAACGTCGCTGTAGAAATGATGTTTGTTGTTATTGTGGCTGAACGTTTTAGGGTCTGAGTAAAGTCGCGGTATCTTAAGTGGCTGAGAAGAACCACACCTACCTGGATCTGTTCAGAACCCCTCAGCTGAGAAGGATAACACTCTGCTCCGGCTTTTTCTGGTATGAAAGGACTGTTGGGGTGCCGGGTGGGCTGCGTGGGTCTGCAGGCTGATTACATCCCAGCTGTGTTGCTGCACTGTAGGTTTGCTGTTGCCTTCCTCTACTATGGAATCAGCTTCAAGATCTCCGGTTTTGGTGTCAGCATCTACGTCACTCAGTTCATCTATTCCGCCATCGAGGTTCCTGCCAAAATCCTCACGTTCTTTGTGGTGGACTGGATCGGCCGGAGGAACGGCCAGGCGTGTTTTCTGATCACAACGGGAGCTCTGATAGGAATCAACACAGCTATTCCTCTAGGTTACAGCGGCTCTTCTCTTTGCACAAATACGTAGAACAAAATAACGTTTCTACATTCATTGCTGTCGTATTACAGTTGTTTGGTCCGTTTCTCCTGCAGAGTACTCTGTGCTTCGCACGTGCGTCGCTGTGGTGGCCAAAGGCTTCTCTGAGGCGGCTTTCACCACAGCGTTCCTCTACTCAGCTGAACTCTTCCCCACTGTTCTCCGGTAAGCTCCAACACACACGTCGAGAGCTGGAAACCGTTTTCACCACTTTAACACGTAACAGCAACCCCATCAGTAATTAAAGCG